GTGTGTGTGTGTGTGTGTGTGTGTGTGTGTGTGTGTGTGTGTGTGTGTGTGTGTGTGTTATAAAAAATGGAGGGGAGTGGACTGGAGGTTGCATCTGTTCCATGTTTCCTCTAATGAACTCTTTCCCCATTTTCATAAGGTATAAATTGTATCATGCTTGCTGGGGCGTTTAAAACAAAACTTTAAGGAAGTCAAAAGCAGACAGATTCTTATAGATCTACTCATGTCATCACTGTCCAAGAAAACTGTGTTGTAAAATTCGACATATGACAGTTTTCCATACCACAATCCCCTTCAATCGCAAATATCTCGACTCCTATTCAAGATAGATGTGTAATTTTTTCAACGAAAGCGAGACAAATGAACAAGCTTTATAATGATACCAATAACTCTACCTGCGGCAAAAGTTGATGGGCTCCTGATTCCACCATGTGGCGACTCAAATGGGCTTTGTTATAATAGGATCTGATTAGTGAGTGGGTATTACTGTGCACGTGCAGACAATTAGGGCTCCAGTTTGCTGATGAGAGAAGGGGGGGGGGAGGTAGGGTGGGAGGATCGATCGAATTTATAAGGGTAATTAGGAGGCCTCAGAGCATATTATGCGTTTGCTCATTTTAATTAATGCCCAATGGAATCTACCCCTCCTTTTACTCTCCTGTCCTCTTCTTCCTGTCAAAGTGGCCACGTTGCTATGGAGCTCATCTTCACATGTCGACACATATATGACTTATTTATGTTGCAAGTGCCGTTAAACTCTTACTAAAACCTTTTTTTTAACCTGTTAATGAACGTCAAGATATGTATGTATGTATTTATGTGCCGTATGTATGCTTGTTCATGTATATATAATGTATTATGTTACGCCATTGTTAACCAAATTTCCTCAAGGGGATTAAGAAAAAGTGGAATCTTATTCATTGATTGGTTAATTGATTGATAGATTGATTGATTGACTGATTGATTGGTAAATTGATTGATTAGTTGATTGACTGATTGATTGATTGAATGATTGATTGATTTATTCATTTGATTGATTGTTTGTTTGTTTGTATATTTATTTATTTTATAATTCGTTGTGTCTTTCCCAGAACTGATCCACAGCCCACTGATGAAGGAGTTTCCTCACATAGCAGACACACCGGACCTTATGAAACTGCTCAGGGTATGCCCGTCTCTCTCGCCTCTGCTGAGATCTTATAATTATTTACATTTTCTGTGCTTGTATTTTTTATTTTTTATTTGTTTTATCAGAATCATTCACCAGCCGTCTGTGGTGTAGTTGTTAGGGGTACTTCAAGCCATTGCACACAGAAGACCTGAGTTTGACACCCATTTTATTGGGGGGACGG